AGTGAACACTCGATGCTGATTGGCTATTTTTTTTACCAACGGAGGAACAAGAGCTCAGCGCTCGCTCGGCCTCCCCCTCCCCTTCTCTATCACCTAGCGGTTGCAATTACATCAGCAGATTCGGCACATTCGCGATAGAAAAGCGGCGCTTTCACGTTATGGTATTACAACTGTGAAATTACAAACAAAAAATACACATTCTGAGACATGAACTGAAATGAATTGTGAATTTTATTAACATTAAATCGTCCTCCTCCCATTTTCACCTCATAATTATGGGGAGGCTGTGCCTCCCCCGACGAGCCGCTACTGATAGAATATACAGTTTGTACAGTATAAAAACCATTACGCCTATGGAATGTCCCCATTTAGATGGCTAAGTAAACGTGTGTGTGTGTGTGTGTGAGAGAGAGAGAGATCAGGATTCAGTCCAAGTAAACGTGTGTGTGAGTGTGTGTGTGTGTGAGAGAGATCAGGATTCAGGAAGACTTGTATGGCTTATTCGGTACTCAAATGTTATACCTATCTATGTAGTACAGTGGAATACAATAAGTTGCAAAATGCAATAAGTTTAGTTTACCACCTTACCCTATTAGTCAATCATTTTTTATTTTATTTATATGTTTACTATTCTTTTTTATTATTATACCCTCATTGGGGGCTGAGACCCCCTAAAACGAAAATCTTAGAATCGTCGGTATCCACGGGCGCTGCGGATAATCCAACTCTGTAAAACCCGATAAATTCAGAATACTCAAAATTTTTGTGGACACCGATTGCCTCAAAAAATGTTATTAAGCAACTCAAAAATTAATCCAAAATTAGGTTAAAGCTAATACACAGACATTAATTTTGCAATATATTAATTTTACAAAAGCAATCTACAAACTTGTAGTAAACCTTTACAAACTTTCTTTAATTGCAGGCTGAGCTGGATGCTGAATACAAAAGAGTGAGCCTCAACACTTAAGGTAACTTCTATTCAGTTGAAGAGCAAGTTGTGTGATGTGTCCTCACATAACCGGACACAGACTCTGCTTTCAGTTTTCTACATCCATTGTTGGTTATACACTTACTTGTGCGTGTTTGTGGTTTTCTAGGTTTGTGCTGAGTTTCACCATATCAGAGAAAGTGGCACACACCAGCAAGATTTCACAGATGTTGCATGACATTCTAAATGTTTGATCTTCAGGTGAGTGCAAATTCACAAACACTAACTACCTCCATCACTGTCTTCATTGTATATCAAATAAAGTTGGCCTGCTTGTTTAACATGTTTATTTTTTTGTTTACATGATGTCAACATGCTCTCCCAGTGTAAGTGTGTGAGGAGAACTGTTCTTCAGGACATGAAATGTAAGTATTAAGTGCAATAATAGATCTGAAATAGAGTGGGGGAACAATGACACTAGAACCAGGAAGTGTAATTCGCCGCGGGTTCCTTTGAGATTTTCCTATGGGGTTTTTTTTTTATGGGTTTTTTTTTAATTTATGAATAAAATAAAGCCTGTGGTAAACATAACTTGATGATACTTCTACGTTTTGTTCTACAATGTAAACTGCACACACTCGCAGCACAAACGTTCTTATCTAGTTACTTATTAAAAACATACGTTTTCAAAAATGAACATAACTGCTTCAAAATGTTTGTTTTGGGTATGGATGTGTGTAATTTACGTTGTAGAACAAAACGTAGAAGTATCGTCAAGTTATGTTTACCACAGGCTTTATTTTATTCATAAATTGAAAAACCCCATTCAAAAAAACCCATAGGAAAATCTCAAAGGAACCCGCGGCGAATTACACTTCCTGGTTCTAGTGTCATTGTTCCCCCACTCTATTTCAGATCTATTATTGCACTTAATACTTACATTTCATGTCCTGAAGAACAGTTCTCCTC